CAAAACCTTTGTAAAATCAATGATTTGGGCATTCTCGCCGAGGCCTCTTGGAGCGTCTTGGGTGCCTCTGGGGGCTCTCTTGGGGCCTCGTGGGGGTCTCTTGGGAGCCTCTTGGGGGCATCCTGGGGGCCTCTTGGGAGCCTCTTGGGGCCACATGGGGCCATCTTGGGGCCATCTCGGGGCCTCTTGGGGCATCCTGGGGGCCTCTTGCGGCCATCGTGGAGGAAATCGATGAAAGAAGAGGGGAGCTCTAATTGGCGCTGCCCCCTCAGAAGGCCAAAATGGGGCCAAAACCATAGTAAAATCAATGATTTTGGCTTCCTCGCCGAGGCCGTTTTGGACGCTCTGACCGCTCCCCGCCCCTCCTGTCCAGGTCAGTGGGGAGGGGGTAGGGGGAGGGGTAAACCCCTACCCGAAGGGGAAGAGGGAGGGGTGGAAGAGGAAACGCCCTAAACCACCGACGCCCAGAGGGCTGGTGGGATTTTTGTTTTGCGCATTTAAAAGTATTTTAGACTGTTCCTCCAAAGCCCCCCTGCAGGGGGACATGCCCGACCTACGGCGTGCTCCTCGGCGGCGCCGGTGCCCACTTAGACCGCCCCAGGGCGGGAACTTTCGGTCAGCGTGTCGGTCCGCTAGTTCTAGTTCTGGCCCACCATGCTTTGGCGCGATGCGCTGAACACGTCCCAGCCCCCCGAGCTTCAGCGTCCCGGGCCCTTCGAAGCCTCCCGCCCCGCGGAGCAGAGCGACACTCTTTACGGCTGTAAGGCATGGCGTGTCGCCAGGGCCGCCGCCGCAACGCGCTGAGCAAACGTTCCTGACCGTATTTTTCTGTGTCTCCTCTCATCCTCTCCATTTGGCGCGCTCCAAAAAGGGTCCCACCCTGGAGGAAGCCGGCGAGGTCTGACAGAAGTAGAAAGTGGGCGGCTCCGCCGCCAGAGCCGCCGCCGCGACGCGCTGAGAGAGCAGAACGTCCCGACCGTAGAAGTAATCCCGTTAGTGGTTGTCGTGGGGAAAAGGCCAACACACCCGCGATGCCTTGACTCTCCTAAGGCAGGGTCCCTGGCCCGGGTAGACGGCCCTGAGGGCCAGGCGAGGGCCCCCAGGGGCCGAACGAGGAGGAGGAGGTGGAGGCGTATTGATAGGAGGAGGAGGAGAGTGAGAGGAGAGGAGGAGGAGGGAGGAGTGGAGGAGGGAGAACAGGGAGGAGGGAGGGAGGAGGGAGGAGGAGGAGGGAGGTAGGGAGGAAGGGAGGACTGTGGAGGAGGGAGGAGGGAGGGAGGGGGAGGAGGGAGGAGGGCAGGAGGGAGCGATGGGAGGAGGGAGGAGGGAGGAGGGAGGAGGGCGGAGGGAGGAGGGCGAGGGAGGAGGTGAGGATGGAGGAGGGAGGAGGAGGAGGGGGGAGGGAGGCAGGGAGGAGGGAGGAGGGAGGAGGGAGAAGGTGAGGAGGGAGGAGGGAGGAGGGAGGATGGGGAGGGAGGAAGGCGGAGGGAGGAGGGAGGTCTTAGGGGAGGGACGGAGGGCGGAGGGCGGAGGCGGAGGGCGGAGGGCGGAGGGGGCGGGGGGCGGAGGGCGGAGGGATGAGGGCGGAGGGCGGAGGGCGGAGGGCGGAGGCGGAGGCGGAGGGCGGAGGGCGGAGGAGGAAGGGTAGGAGGAAGGAGGAAGGGGGAGGGAGGGAGGAGGGAGGAGGGAGGGAGGGAGGGAGGGAGGGAGGTAGCGGATGGAGGGGCGAGGGAGGGAGGGAGGGAGGGAGGGAGGGAGGGAGGGAGGGGGCTGAGGGAGGAGGGAGGGAGGGAAGGGAGGGAGGGAGGGAGGGATGGAGGAGTGAAGGAGGAGGAGGAGGAGGAGGAGGAGGAGGCGGACGGCGCGGGAGGAGGAGGAGTGCGAGGAGAAAAGGAGGAGGAGAGGAGGAGGGCGGAGGAGGAGGAGGAGGAGGAGGAGAGGAGGAGGAGGAGGAGGAGGAGGAGGAGGAGGAGGAGGAGGAGGGGGAGGGATGAAGGATGAGGAGGAGGAGGAATACCAGGAATATCAGATGAAGCCACGAAGTGGCCGACCCTCCTCAGTCAGACGAGCCCGATTCCCAGGCAGGCGGTGCGGGGCGGTGCCTGCTCGTCGGGCTCCGAGATGTGGGCGGCGGCGGGGGCGGCGGGGGCGGCAGAGAGGCGGCACTCTCGCTCTCCGCCACTCTCACAGCAGTCTCCTCCCCCGCCGTCTCCATCAATCTCCGAGTGGCTGCAGCAGTGACTGCAGCTGGGACCCGCCTCGATGGGTAGAGCCCCTTCTCAAGCCTCGAGAGGTCCTCGACCCCTTTCATGGTGGGGGGGGGGGTGGCAAGGAAGGGAAAGCCATCGACCTTCGGCAGTGGCCGTGCATCCACCTGCTCGGCAGACAATCAAGTTAAAGTCTTGCCAGAACGTCCAGGTGTGTGAAACATGGCTGACCTTCGTGCCTGTCTGGACCTGTCTTTCAACGACAAACGACCGAAACCGACTCAACCCGACTCTTTCTCCAGGTCCAGGGCACTGAGAGGCAGCGATCGAAATAATGTGGCCTGCTGGTACAAGCTGCTCGCAAACCGAACATCTGTACTGCCCACCACACTTCTCGAGTCTATGCGATGTGGCCGCCAGCGCTCTCTCAACTTTATTCCATGGCTTCGAGCGAGCTGTGCGTTCTCTGGTGGTTTGCCAGGGGTCAGCAGCCCACGAGTCCATGAGTGCTGGGCGGGCCCTGTTCCTAACCAGGACTGCTAACCAATCAGCTTGGTCGGTGTGATGGATAGACCGCTGGAGATGAGAATCCCAACCCCGCTCCACCGCCACACCCGCCCAATGGTCCGCGCACATATTGCGACAGGTGAACAAACTGAGTCGAGGTGAGGGCAACATTTACATCCTCCAGATGCGCGGCTGCCCAGTGGAGGTGCACATCGCCCTCTCCCCGATGCTTCAACGCTACTGCAACTCTGTACGAAAGACCCTGGTTAGGTCCTGTTTCACCATGTGGTCTGCCAGCTCTCCATCCATCAAGGACTGGCTGGCAATCAGTTACGTAAACAATGGGCCCCGCAGTTTCTTCTGACGCCAAAGCAAGCGCAGCTATCTCCGCTCTCGGCACCGTTTGGCGCCGTCCACGAAGCGGGGCCGAAACTCCAGCCGCTGGTTCCCAGGCCCCTTCGCGCCTCTGGAGAGCAGCTATCGCAGACCCACTTCTCTTACGCCGTGGATCCGAAGAATGTCGGTCCCAGAGCCTTCGCCAAAAGGGTACAAAAGGCTTCTGCCCTGGGAGCACACAACAAGATCGGAGGTCTGCACCACCGTGGTGTATAGGAGGGGGGGCCTCAAGAGGGTCGAGGAAGGTAGGGGTGGTGAGGTTGCGGCCAGGCACTCCGCACAACCATAGGGACGGGTCGCTTTTCCACAAGCTCTGCGCCAGTGGGAACAACATCTGTGTTTTTATCGTAGTCCTCATGATAACAATTGGCGGGGCAGGGCCGCACTCGATGATAGAGAGACTCATCTTCGCTCTGACAGCGCAGACACAGGGCAGGAACAGAGTATCCTGTCTCTATCTGTCGAGCTCGAGGCCACTGCCCTCCTGCAACAACACACAACGTGAGACTCCACAAATCTAGCTGACATTTGCGCTCAAAGCGCTTCAGCTCTCCCGTAACCTGATGGAGGTCGGCTCCTTCCGCGAGGCTTTTGCCAGCAGGGTGGAGAGCAGCCATCCGCCAGAACAGTTGATTCAAATCAGCAACAAGGTCATCTAAAAGCTCAGCGTGATCTGAAATACATAAAAAAGCTCGACAAGATGCCATGATCTGCGAATGCGAGACTGCAAAAAGGGGACCTGCTTCCATAAGCGGATCCAAGAGTCCACTAGCAGTCGACTGAGCTCGACCCCTGGTTCTCCTACACCTACTACTGCTTGGAGCGGCGTCGTGAGACATTTCCCCCTCCCAATCCCAGCACTCACCTTCCATAACTGACGCCTGAGGGACAGGACGTGGCTCGGAGGGGTGCCTAAGCACTGGTGCCCATAGGTGGCCTGCGGACGAACTCCTGTGCGCCAAGCTCCCTGGGTAACCCTCCTCAGCCCCGCCCGTCTCCTCATTTTTAAAATTCTGGAAAATCTGTACTTGGACTTGGACCTTTTCTGCTGGACCTTCTTCTGGGACCTAAATCTCCACGCGGTGGTGTCGAGGCCCAAATCAAGGCCTGCTCTGGCAGGTTTCGCTGGGATCCCTTGGGTTTGAAAAATCTACAGCAGCCTGGCAAAGCTCAGAGTCGGAAGCTATGATCACTGTTTTGTCCGATACTAAGCATTCCTCTTTCCGAGTGTGTCCGAACGAGTCCGCAATCTCCGTCATCTCCTCGATGATCTTGGTTCGCATAGCGGCTTCCAGCACTGAATGCAGAAAAACCTTCCCAACAATAACTCCATGCGCTGAGCCTGCCACCAACGACCGCATGGGATGAAACGGCTGTCCAATGAGTGAGCCTCCTTGACAGCCTGGGATCTGAGTCTGTCAAACGGAGTTGTGGCTAAATGAGTCCTTGCAAGCAGCCATTCACCTCCAGAAATACCTTGCTCAGATCGTCCTGACGGGAATCCCTCCTTGATCGAAACATGAAACCCGTCCTTCTTGAGCTCGTGTGTCCAATGAGCCTTCGTAGCTGCAGACTGGTGCGTCTCCACGAATCCCATCACTGGGTAGGCCTCTGCATGGTGCCAAACAAACTGGTGCGCATGTGGCCCCCGCTCCTTGATGTTGGCAAACAAGAATGGGGAGGAGGAGGAGGAGGAGGAGGAGGAGGAGAGGAGAGGAGGAGGAGGAGGAGGAGGAGGAGGAGAGGAGGAGGAGGGAGGAGGAGCAGGAGCAGGAGCAGGAGCAGGAGGAGAGGAGGAATGGAGGGGAGGAGGAGGAGGAGGAGGAGGAGGAGGAGGAGGAGGAGGATGGAGGAGGAGGAGGGGTCTGGGCTCCTCGCCGGCCTCCCGAGGATCGCCGAGGGCAACGTGCCCCAGATGCTCGAGGACAAGCGGGTCATCGAGCTGGACCTGGGCACCCTGCTGTCCGGCACCAAGTACCGCGGCGAGTTCGAGGAGCCCGCGGCCCGGGGCTGCGGCTCCGGGCCGGCCCCCGCCCGCCCTGCCCGCCGCGCCCGGCCCGGCGCGCCCCGCCCGCCCCCGCCCGGCCCCGCCCCGCACCGCCTTGCCTCGGGGCTCGAGGTTTTTGGGCGTCTTCGTCGGTTCCGCGCGGCTTTCCAGCTTCTTCCAGCAGACGGGCCTCGCCGAGGGCGTTCTGGGGGTAACCAGGTCGTCCCGACTGGCCGCCGGCGAGCCCGGTCATTATACCCGAAAACCCCCCACCTGGCCCCCACACCTCTCGTCGCGAACAAAATCTTCGGCCACTTTCGGCCGCTGAGGGCCCTCTGGGGCCGACAGGCCCAGTGTGAAAGCCTGGCCCCGGGGAAGGGGTGGGGACTTCTGGGGGTCCATCAATGAGTTCTGAGTGCCCTGCCCCCCTTCTGTCCATGCCGCCGTGGCCCTCCCCATCACCCCAGACCTGTGATGGGTGGATTTTTTCAACGGGCTCCGCAGAAGTCCCGACCTGTTCCCTGCGGGCCAGTTTTTCATCGCGGGTCGTTTCTTGACGGCCCTGACGCCCGGCGAGGGCCCCCAGAGGCCGAAGACGGCCAACAATTCCCTGTCGCTATTTTAAACAGCGACACGAGCATGTCTGCGTTTGTTTGTGAGCGAAACCGGTGGGCGCGACGCCGTTCGCCAGAGACGGGGCAGGCGTTCTTCGGGGTTGCCCCAGGGCTCCTCGGTGTTCCCCGGGGTTGTCCGTTGCTCTGGTATTCCTCGGGGTTGCCCAGGAGGGTTTCCCGCGCAGTACCAAGCAATGCGCAGCAACGATTCCAAGCACTGCCAAGCACCGCCAAGCAATGCTTGGGTCTGTCTCTCCGCGCCCTCCATGCCGCCCCGCGCGGCGGGCAGGCCCTGCGATTGAGTGCGGGCTTTGGGGTCCTGCCCCTCCTCCCAGGAAGGCAGAGGAGGAGGAGGAGGAGGAGGAGGAGGAGGAGGAGGAGGAGGAGGAGGAGGAGGAGGAGGAGGAGGAGCAGGAGGAGGAGGAGGAGAGATTAGTTGGATCAGGGTTAGGAGGGAGTAACAGGAGGAGGAGGAGGAGGAGGAAGAGGAGGAGGAGGAGGAGGAGGAGGAGGAGGAGAAGGAGGAGGAGGAGGAGAAGGAGGAGGTAGAGGTGGAGGAGAACCAGGAGTAGGAGGAGGAAGACAATTGTAAACCTGAGGAGGAGGAGGAAGACTAAGACGCATTAGTGATGTTGCAATAAGTCCTACCTCCAAGCTCCCTTCTCAAATGGCCCTGCAATAATGTATTTGCATGGAGGAAAGTGCCCGACTGGAAGACAACCGCCTGATAATCTTTAATCGTGCCAAACCACAACTCTTGGATTTCAACGCCGCGAATAAACGTGTCTGTTGCGTCGTGACCATCCTAAATCGTGCCAGAGCACCGTTCCTGGGACGTCAACACCGCGAATCCACGCGACTGTTGCGCCCTGACAGTCCTTAAGTCGTACCAGAACACCATTCCTGGGGGGTCAACCATGAGAATCCTCGGAACTGCTGCAGACTTTGAAGATGAATGCGCGCGGCGCCAAGGCAAGAGCCACGTTTTTAAAAGGAACCGTCCTCCATCCGTGAAGCTCTGGCAAGCTGTTCAGGCGAACGTGCGCGACGCAGAGGCGAGAGCCACATTCTGAAAACGACCCGCCATCCATCCATGAAGCTGTTGCAAACTTGGATGACACATGTGCGCTGCGCTAGAGCGAGAGCCACATTTTGGAATCCACTCGCCCTCCATCCGCGAAGGGGAGGCGGAGGAGGAGGAGGAGGAGGATGAGGAGGGGCAGGAGGAGGGATTAGTTGGATCAGGGGTGGGAGGGAGTAGCAGGAGAAGGAGGAGGAGGAGGAGGAGGAGGAGGAGGGAGGAGGAGGAAGGAGGGGAGGAGGAGGGGCGGAGGAAGGAGGAGGAGGAGGCGGAGGAGGGGAGGAGGAGGAGGAGCGAGGAGGAGGAGGAGGAGGAGGAGGAGGAGGAGGAGGAGGAGGGGAGGAGGAGGAGGAGGAGGGAGGAGGAAGGAGGAGGAGGAGGAGGAGGAGCGATGGAGGAAGGATGATGGAGGGGAGGAGGAGGAGGAGGAAGGAGAGGAGGAGGAGGAGGAAGGAGGAGGAGGAGGAGGAGGAGGAGGAGGAGGAGGAGGAGGAGCCCACAGTCGTCCACCCCGCCCGCCTCTTGTGCCGTCCCCCTGGTCCCGGCGCGCGCTGCGCGTGTTGGCGTGGCCGGTCGTCGGCAGACGGGGGCGCTGGGTGCTGCCCGACGCGGTCCTGGCCCGAGGTGCCCCAGCTTTTCGCGCCACCTGCCATAAAGCAAGCGGGTCCTGAGGAAACTGGGTCCCAGGCCACAAATCGGGGGCGGAAAAGAGGGGGGTGATGACTAGGGGGGGGTGGATATCATGGCGGGGGGCATGATATTTCCCCAGATTTCATGGCGTCTCTTCTTGTTTCATTGAAACCCTGGCTCCCAACCTGGGCCGCGCACATGCCGCCGGCCATGATGTGCACCCCCTTCTTGGACACCCCCCTCTTGGCCGCTCCCGAACAAATACACGTAATAAACAAGATGTTTGTTCGCAGCGCGAGGAGGTCTGGACCCCTAGGGCGCCCGAGAGGGCAGGCCAGACGATGTTAGCCTTGGAGGAGGGACCGGCAGAAGCTCGAGGGAAGAAACACAGCACGAATGTAGATCGCCATGCAGGAAGCGGGTCCTCAGGGAAACGGATCCTGACGTTTTTCGCCATGTTCGGGCTTCTCGGGCTCTCCATCAGCTGTGGGACCGTCAGAAAACGACTCAGGATAAGGAATTGGTCTAGGGGGGAAGGCACCAGGGTGCCAGGACCCTTTTTTCCTCAGGACCCGTTTCCTGCGTGCTCAGCCATCGTGGAGCCGATGTGGGGCCCGTGAGTCAGCAGGATGCAGCTCCTAGGAGGTTCAGGGGGTCAGTTCAGCATCGGCGCTGGTATATCCGTGGTCGAATACGGGCCCAATCTGGCAGACTCTCGCTCAATCTTGTTTAATCCCATCCGCTTGACTCCCAGGCTTAATTCGGTTTGCTCCGGCGTAATCTGGCCTAATCCGGCTCAGTGGCCGCCCACTCATCGGGCTTAACCGCCCTTGGTCGTTCCCACGAAGACCTCTCAGGAGTTGCTTCCTAACGTGTGGGGTGCTCTGACGGCCATCCGGGCCTCCCTGGACATCCTGGGGGCAGATTGGACCAGGGACACCCTGCGGCAGCACCCGAGGGGGGTGGGGGGGACGCCGCCGCCGCGGAGGAGCGCCTGAAGAACATCATCCAGGAGGTCAGGTCTTCAGGCTCCAGGGGATGGGAGGCGGGCTGCGGCGTCTGTGCGCTCGAAGCGTGGCATGAAGTCGGGCATGTCCCTCTACAGGAGGTGTATTCAAACGTAGCCAACAAATAATGTGGGGACGATTTGTTTCTTTTGATTATGCTTGAAACTGTTTTGACAATTGTTTGTCTTAGCTGCCTCGATACGCCCGTTTTGATATACGCAACACGTGCCGTGTTCAAAACGTCCGTGCCAATACGTTGCGTGCTGGCTCAGCGTATCGGCCCGCGTTTTGGCGAACGTATCGCGTCAGACCTGCGCGTTCAGTCTGCGCGTTGAGCTCCGTACCAATACGCTGCGTGATGCGCGTTGCGTACCGGGGCAGCTTAGCCTGGGGGAGGCCTCGGAGCACCGGGGCTGCCGGGGGAGGCGACGAGCAACCGGACAAGGAAGATTTGCGGAGCATGCTAGGGGGGTGGGGTTCGAGGAGGAGGACCCCCTGAGGGAGGCCTCGGAGCACCGCCCTCTCCACGCCCTTTCGGCACGCCCTCGCTCGTCTCGTGGCCTTATTCCCAGAGATCGTATGTCGTGATTTTTTCAAGACGGGGTCCCCGGAAATCTCGACCCATTCCCCAGGACCGGTTTTTCATCCTGAGTCCTTTTTTGGCGGTCCCGAGGCCCTGCGAGGGCCCCTGGGGGCCGAAGTTTGCGAAAAACCTCCGTCTTGATTTTTTCATTGCGTTGGACCGCTGGGTTAGGGGGACAGAACGTGGCATAAACACAAAACCTCAAGTTTTCTCTTCTTCGCCCAGACCCAGGGCTCGTTTCGATTCCTCCGATTCGATTCGATTCGACTTCGATGGCCTCCGATTCCGATTCGATTCGACTTGGGATTCCGATTTGGGTTCCGATTTCTTATTGGAGGCATACTAGCCTGCCAATTTCAGCCGATTCGACTTTTCCCGATTCGGCTGCCGATTTCCGCCGATCCGATTCATTTCGACTGCCGATCCGACTTGTCGATCCGATTCTGGGCTCTCCTGCAGACCCCGCCTGCAGGCGGGCAAACGCCCGGCCCGAGAGCGTGGCAGGGCCGCGGGCGGGTCGCTGGGCGGCGTGCTCTCCCGCGCGGCGCCTGGTGCGGCCCCCGAGGCGCGGGCCCCGGGCCCTCGGCGGGGCCTGGCCTGAAGTCGGGCCTGTCCCTTCTACAGGAGGAGGAGGAGGAGGAGGAGGAGGAGGAGGAGGAGGAGGAGGAGGAGGAGGAGGAGGAGGAGGAGGAGGAGGAGGAGGGGCCTGGCCTGAAGTTCGGGGGCGGAAACGAGGGGGGTGGTGACTAAGAGGTCTGGACCCCTTCAGGGAGAGAGCCCCAGGGCAGGGCTCGACCAGCGCGGCGTGCGGGGGATTTCGGGAGCCGCTGTCGTCTCGATGCCGCCTCGCAGCCCAAGGGAGGACGAAGGCAGAGCGATGGAGAACGATCACGAAAGGAAGACGAAAGGTACTCCAGATTTCGTAATAAAGGGAGGGGGGTCTCATTTCGGGGGGGGGGTGTCTTCCAGGCTATCTTGGAGGGCCTGGGGGGGGTCTGGGGACGATGTTTTGGAGGGTTCTCCCACTGGGGAGGTCTGAAATGGCTTGCCTTGGAGGGTCCAGACCCCCTCCCTTTTATTACAAAATCTGGAGTACTGTTCAGGTTGGGTCGATCTCTGGAGAGAGCTCCATCCGTGCCCGTGCTGGCCTCCGTCGGCCCCAGGAGGGAGGGGGAAGGGGAAAGGCCTGGGGAGGTCCGAGGTGTTCAGGGTTCGACGTTCGAGGTCTCCGGACGCCTTCGTCCAGTCTCGTCGGTCTTCTTCGGGGGCGGCAAAGAGGGGGGTGATGACTAGGGAGGGGTGGATATCATGGCGGGGGCCATGATATTTCCCCAGATTTCATGGCGCCTCTTCTTATTTCATTACGTCCCTGGCCCCCCCGCTGGGCCGCGCACATGCCGCCGGTCATGACTTGCACCCCCCCCTCTTGGACCCCTCTTGGCCGCTCCCGATGAAGTCGGGCCTGTCCCCTCTACAGTTGTGGAGGGCGATCCATGGAGAGGAAGCATGTTACCAACTAAGTTCCAGATGTCTAGAACATGCGCTACGCATGTCTTAAGCACGTAAACAACATGCTTAAGACATGTTTAGAACATTTCTTCCGACATTTTAAGCACATTAACATTCAATGATGGGACCGTTAGGGTGTCCATTATCGTGGCATCCACAACTCTACAGGGGGGATCTTCCAAAATTGTCAAAAATAGTCTGGGGACGATTGTTGGACTTTTTTTGCGAATATGTTTGGGCTATTTTTTAGTTTTCCTCAGAATTTTCGAGTATTTGTTTTCCTCCAAGATCCCCCTGTAGGGGGACATGCCCGACCTGAGCCTGGCCAGGGTCGATGATCCTCGGGACGTGTATCAGCCCAACGTTCGTTCCCAGACGTCGGGGTCTGGACAAAAAAACATCGGGACGGAGGTTTTTCGGTGTCTTCGGCCCCTCGGGGCCCTTCTGTAGGGGGGCGCGGGGCCGTCAGCAAAGCGACTCGCGACGAGAAGCGGGTCCGGGAAGTGGTCGAGAGCCAGGGGCCCGTGTCTCGAGAGAATCGAGACGCCGGATGTTTGGGCTTCCCCCGTTCGGCCCGACCGCACGATGGCTGGGTAGTCGAAGGCCAGGCTGTCAGATTGGATTGGGCCCCAGGGGCCAACCTGGCCTGGCCAAGCTGGATGATTTGGGTTATTCGCCAGACTGGATTCGCGTTGGCTCCCTCGCCAGATTGCCCCCCTTTGCCAGATTGGGCCTGCCGGATTGGCGCCAGATTGGCTTCGACTACCCAGGATTAGGAGGAGGACGAGGACGAGGACGAGGACGAGGACGAGGACTAGGAGGAGGAGGAGGAGGAGGAGGAGGAGGAGGAGGAGGAGGAGGAGGAGGAGGAGGAGGAGGAGGAGGAGGAGGAGGAGGACCGCACGTGGCGCACGTCCGGCCCCCCCCCCCTCCCCCCCCCTCCCCCCCGCTGCGCTGCCTGCGCCGTGCGCAGAGCCGTCGTCCGGGCGTGGCTGGTCGGCTTGCGCCCCGTGGGCCCGGGCGGGCGGGGCCCGCGGGTGCGTGCCCGTGCAGGGTCGTGGCGCAGCCCGCGCAACGTGTGCTGCCCCTCCTGCTGCCGCAGGCTCGCACGCCGGGGGGGGGGGGGGCAGGGAGGGGAGCGGAGCCCAGACCCCCTCGAGTTATGAAGAAATCACGACGGGATGTTTTTCATTATTTTGGGCCTTTGGGGGCCCTTGCCGGCCCTCGGGACCGCCAACAAAACGACTCAGGACGAAACAACGGCCCCGGGGAAGGGGTCGAGACCTCGGGGGGTCGACGTCGTGAAAAAATCATGACGTCGGGGGTCTGGGAGTGGAGGTATAGGGGAGGCAGGGGGGATGACGGGGGCGCGCGACCCAGACCCCCGACGCCATGATATTTTCATGACGTCGGCCCCCCGAGGTCTCGACCCATTCCCTGGGACCGGTTTTTCGTCCTGAGTCGTTTTTTGACGGTCCCGAGGGCCGGTAAGGGCCCCCAAAGGCTAAAAATAGTGAGAAACCTCCCGTCGTGATTTTTTCATAACTCGAGGGGGTCTGGGTATAGGGGAGGCATGGGGGGATGACGGGGGCGCGCGAGGAGGCCCGACGGATCTGGGGCAGGCGGAGCCAGCGGCGCGCCCGGGGGGCCCAGGCAACGTCATCCTGATGATCGACGAGATCCACACGCTCGTGGGCGCCGGCGGCGACGGGGGAGGCCTGCCGCGTGGGGCAGAGGGGGGTGCAACGGGTACGGGCAGGGCTCGTTTCGATTCCTCCGATTCGATTCGATTCGACTTCGATGGCTTCCGATTCTGATTCGATTCGACTTGGGATTCCGATTTGGGTTCCGATTTCTTATTGGAGGCATACTAGCCTGCCAATTTCAGCCGATTCGACTTTTCCCGACTCGGCTGCCGATTTCCGCCGATCCGATTCATTTCGACTGCCGATCCGACTTGTCGATCCGATTCTGGGCTCTCCTGGTACAGGGCCAGAGTGAAGGAGACACACAGGCCCTCGATGACGAAATCCACGGCGTGGACACGGTTTCTCGGAGCTCCGCGCAGATTTCTTGGATCGGCGTGGGGCCCCCCTGCCGGCGCCTCCGGCGCCGCCCCTGGGTCAGGAGGGGAAAAAGCAAACAGACACAATTAATTGTCGATTCCCCAGAAAATAGGGGAAAATATGGGAAGTGGGGGGGAAGACAAAAAGCCAGAAAATATGGGAAGATATGGGGAATCCTTCCCCAATCAGAGCTTGCCTCTGTAGGGGTCCTAGCGGATTCATATGGTTAGGTTAGGTTTGTCGCCGATTTTCGCTGCACGCCTGGGTGCCCGGGTGCCCGGGGGTGCCCGGGTGCCCAGGCGGTGCCCGGCGGTGCTCGGGTGCCCGGCACCGGGCGGCGCTGGCTTCCTGCTCCGGGGGGGCTCCGTGGATCGGGCGCGCTCACGCGCCAGATCCCACGTGATCTCCGCGATCCGTGGCAGCGCGCGCCCGGTGGAGGGCCGCAGCACCTCGCCGTCAGGATTGCATGCTCTCACGGCGCACTGGCCGTCTGTCTCCCTCCCTCCGCGGCCGCTTCTCTTCCGGCTCTTCGGGCTCCACGGTGCACAACTTGCTTTGCTGTGGCCACGCGCTAGCCTGGCCGATCCGTGCGTTCGCCGAGTCAGCGACCAACAAACGTGCCCGATCGAGAAGAGCTCGGCAGACCCGTGTGGGGATGGGCCCTCGGGGGCGCCGTTCGCGCCCCTAGAGGCCGCTCCAGAATCCGGGGGAAGAAGATCGGTAGCGATGCTGCTGCTCGTCCTGGAGAGCCCTCGTCGCCACGGCCGAGAATTGTCCGTGGAGTTCTGGTCTCGGCGGTCAGGCCTTCTCAGAAGACCTGCTATCCGCTCCACTCCGCTAGTCTCGTCTCATCTCATCTCATCTCCTCTCATCTCATCTCATCTCATCACATCTCATCTCATCCCATCTCATCTCATAGCATCTCATGCATTTACACCTCATTTCGTATCATATCACCTTATTTCATCTCATATCACATCACCTCATCTCATATCAACTCATTTCATCTCATCTCATCTCATTTCATCACATCCCATATCATTTCATATCATCTCATCTCATCTCATCTCATATCTTCTCATCTCATCTCACCTCCCTTTCATCTCATAGCATCTCATATCATCTCATATCAAATCATCCCATCTCACATCGTGCCCTTTCATGTCACTTCATCTCATCTCATCGCATGCCCTATCATTTCATTTCATCTCATCTCCTCTCATCTCATCTCATCTCATATCATCCCATCGTATCGCATCTTGTCTCATCTTATAGCATCTCGTTTCGTCTCGTCTCATATCACTTCATCTCATTTCATCTCATCCCATCCTATCTCATGTCATATTATCTCACATCGTCCCATTTCATCTCATCTCATTTCATATCATCTCATCTCATTGCATTTCATCTCATGTCATCTCATCGCATTTCGTCTCATCTCATCTCGTTTCATCTCATCTCATCTCATATCATCTCATCTCATCTCATTTCATCTCATCTCATCTCATCTCATCACATTTCACCCCATGTCATCTTATCTCACCTCATCTCATCTCATTTCATCCCATCTCATCTCATCTCATCCCATCTCATATCATCTCACCTCATCTCATCTCATCTCATCTCGTCTCATCTCATCTCATCGCATACCATCTCATCTCGTGTCATATCATATCATCTCATCTCGTCTCATCTCATCTCATCTCATCTCGTCTCATCTCATCTCATCCCATCTCATATCCTCTCATTTCATCTCATTTCATCTCATCTCATCTCATCTCATTTCACCCCATCCCATCCCATCCCATCCCACCCCATCCCATCCCATCCCATTCCGTCTCGTGTCGTTTCGTCTCGTCTCGTCTCATCTCATCTCGTCTCATCTCGCGCGCGCACGTCTCTTATCGTGTGCACTGGGGGTGGCCCGCCACATATCCTATTCAGGACCCAGGGTCGCCTTCCAGGGCCCGCCCAGGCTTCCCACTGCCACTTCCGAACTGAGCAGCCCTCGCGTCTGCCGAGAAGCCTTGTGCGCCTTCTCCGAAGCCGCAGGCGGTTTCTCAGAAGGCGCGAGGGCTGCTGAGAAGCCCCGCCGCCCTTTGAGAAGCCGCCTGCTCCGCTCTTGCTTCCCTCCTGGGCTCGCCGCCGATAGTCGTAGTGCGCCCCTGGAGGGGTCAAGGGCGGTACCGCTTTGTCGTCGCCCCAACCCCCGTCCACTCTCGTCGCGGCACGTTTTGCCGAGCGCGGTTGTGTGGTCGGGAACGTGCCGCGATCCTAGCCAGGCGCTTCTTCGGTGTTTTGCATTAAGTAGCGGTGTGCTCGGAAACGCATTTTTTACGTATATGGGCGAGTGAGGGCTTTTCCGCGCTGTAGGAGGGCACGATCATCATGAGTCGTGAAGGAGTCGCAGGCTTTGGGGCATTTGTCGCCTCCGGGGGCCCTCGCCGGGCCATGGGGCAGCAAAGCAACTGTCCAGGCTGACAGCATGGCGCCCACTGCGGCAAGCATTCCTTGATGGGCTATGTGTGTGTGTGTGTGTGTGTGGAAGTGTGTAAGTGTGTAAGTGTGTAAGTGTGTAAGTGTGTGTGTGTGTTTGTGTGTGTGTGTGTGTGTGTGTGGCCGTCCTGCCCGTGCCGGGCTTCCTCCTCTTCCTTCTCTTGCACTGCGGCTAAATTCGTATCCGTATGCCCTACACATGCCCCATCCGCCAGCGCAGTCGTTCTGCCTGGCCGCCGACGCAACATGTGTGCGTTTGTGTGTGTGCGTTTGTGTGTGTGTGTGTGTGTGTTGTCGGCTGGGGGTCCTGGCTCGCACTGGAGCCCCCCGCGGGGCCCGGCAGCTCGCACCCGTACCCATGGGCGCCTTCCTCGCCTTGCCCTGGCCCGTTCCTTCTCCCTCGCTAGGTCTGCACGTAGATGTTCCTCTTTCAACATCCAGGCGGTCTCTGGGGGGCGGCCGCTATGTGAAAAGCGCCACGGCGCCGGAGGGTTGGGCCGTCGAGGAGGAGGAGGAGGGGTGGTGGTGGTGGTGGTGGTCATTGCATAAGGGAAACAGAATCCCGAGCAGAGCAACACGCACCACGACCACGACGCCGACGACGACGCCGACGACGGAGACGAGGCGCGCTTACGATCCGCACCGAAGCACGGATTTGGGAAAGGGCCCACCCTGCAGGTTCGGTTAAACAGCACATCGTTGAGCGGTGCTGCAGCCGAACCTGCAGGGTGGGCCCTTTCCCAAATCCGTGCTTCGGTGCGGATCGTAAGCGCGCCTCGTCTCCGTCGTCGTCGTCGGCGTCGTCGTCGGCGTCGTCGTGGTCGTGGTGCGTGTTGCTCTGCTCGGGATTCTGTTTCCCTTATGCAGTGACCACCCACTTGGCTTGCCAGGCATTGCACGCCACCTGGCTGTCCGTCCGTCCGTCTGTCTGTCTGTCTTCCCGGCTCTCTGAGCCGCGGCGCTTTGAGCTTCTTAGCTCGGGGACGCGTCGGCCACCGCCGCCCTCTCCCTTGTCGGTGGCCCTGACGAGGTTGGGGGGGAGGGTGCCGAAACGGTGCAGGAGTCCGCAAGGCCTGAGGGTGGCAAAACCCGATTGTCTGGTGATGCTTCTGGGGAGGCCTGAGGAGGAGGGGAGGAGGAGGAGGAGGATAAGTGCGAGGAGGAGGAGGAGGAGGAGGAGGAGAGGAGGAGGTAGGAGGAGGGGAGGAGGAGGAGGAGGAGGAGGAAGGAGGAGGGGGAGGAGGAGCAGGAGCAGGAGGAGGAGGAGGAGGAGGAGGAGGAGGAGGAGGAGGAGCGCCTTCCCGGGGGCGGGCCGCCTTCCCGCGGCGAGGCGGCGCCATGGACGCCGCCAACATCCTCAAGCCGGCGATGGCCCGCGGGGACGTGCAGATCATGGGCGCGACCACCGTCGAGGACCAGCGGACCAGCGGCCCCTCTGCGGGGGCACGGTGGGCCTCGGCCGCCAGAGAGAGGGGGGCCCTGAGCTCCGACGGTGTACGATCTCTTCGGCCCCGCCGTTTCGGCTCGACGTCGGCCCCTGGGTCAGGTCGGGCCTGTCCCTCTACAGGAGGAGTAGCCAGCAATGATCAAAAAATAACCTGGGGACGATGTCTCGGCTATTTTTGGGCCATCGATGGGCCATTGTGGACTCTTTTTTAGATTTTTCGTCCAGGGTCCGCCTGTTGGGAAGACATGCTCGACCTGAGTCTCGGCCGCCAGAGGGGGGCCCCCGATGCTCCGACGGTGTACAGGCGGCCCGGATTCGCAGGTCGACCCTACCAAATCGAGGGTACCCTCGTGTCCTGTGTCTTGCGACCCATGCCTCCTGCAGTTCTGTGGCAACGGGGCCCTCGGAAGGGTCTTCTGTCCTCTCGCGTGTCCTCTCCAATCAGGTCCGACGGTGTGTGACTTCTTCGGCCCCGGCGTCTCGCCTCGGTCTCGGCCCCTGGGCTCCCGGGGCCCGTGGCTAGGGGCCCCGCGGGGCCACTTGGGCGCGGATCCGGGGCGGAGTCTCGGCGTCAGAGTCTCGGCGTTGGAGGGCGGGGGACGGGGCAAAGGCGGCGGCGGCGGCGCCGCCGCCGTGGGAGTTCTCTGTCGGGCGCTCTTGGGCTCCGCGTCGCAGCGGCTGGGCGCGGCCCGGAGACCTGGCCCAGGTGGGCCCGGGGGCCGGCTCGGAGCGGGACTGGGCCCGGGGGGGCCAGCTCGGGGCGGACTTTGCCGTGGACGGCGATCAGCGGAGAGGAAGCATGCTGCCAGGTCATTTCCAGATGTCCAGAACATGTCTTAACCATGTCTTAAGCATGAAAAGCAACATGATTTAGACATTTGGAGAACATCTGTCCGAAATGTTTGAACACATTTTAAACTCAATGATAGGATTGTCAGGGTGTCCATTGCCATGGCACCCACAAGGACTTTGAGGATCAGAAATGCTCCAAGAAGGCTTTTATGGAGGCTTCCAAAGATCCTCCGATCTGATATTGCTGAGGCCTTACGGCCCGTGCCGCCGACCCTGAATACGAGGAGGAGGAGGAGGGGTATTAAGGTGGAAGGGAGCAGGAGAAGGCGAAGAAGATGTTTCCCATGTGGGCCGAGGGAGTCGTAGCAGAGACAGACAGGGAGCCTTGTGGCCTGCGGCCCTTCCCGCCGTGCTGGGGTTGTGGCTGAAAGACCTCGTGGATGTTTTCGTGCCTGTTGGGGCCTCTGCTGGGCCTCTTGGGGGTCTCTTGGGGGCCTCTTCGGGCCCCTTGAGGGGCTCTTGGGGCCATCCAGGGGCTTCTTGGGGCGGGAAGCTCGAAATGTCGGTTCGTGGTCCTCTTTTTGGGCCTTCTTGGCGCGTCTTGGCGCTTTTTTGGGCTCCGGGACGCCCAGGGGCGGATGCGAATCTGACCCCCGGCCGCCCCCGGGACACCCCTGGGACTTCCCCCGGGCCCCCCCCCCCTTTCGGCGGGGGAGGGATCAAAGGGAAGGAGCTTCCCTTCGACTTAACTACGACGTTGCTCTGGTTGTCTCTCGCTGGCAGGCAGGCTTGATGAGGAGGGTGCAGGGAAAGGGGACGACGGAGATGCAGGGAAAGCTGACGGCGGTGGCGCCGACGGAGCGCACGCCGACAGGGGGTCCACACGCCGGCAGGCTCGGCGGATTTTTTTTCCAGCCGCGGCCCCAGAGCTCCCGACCACTTCCCCAGGGACAGCTCCTCGTCGCGGATCCATGTTTGATGGTCCTGGGGCCCGACAAGAAATGCTTTTATATCTTTTTATTTTCCATAACGTCCGGCACGTGGGGGTCGCCCCCCCTCCCCCCCCTCCGCTCCTCACCGTACGCTGGGGGGAGGGGAGGGGGGGGAGGCGGTTCCCTCGTAGGCATGGAGCGGTGCTGGCAGGAATGCTTTGGCGCATGCTGTGGGGCTCGCAGGCCCTCTCCCGCCCCTCCCCCCCGAAGCGAACGCTGCGGGGCGGCACCTCCCGCGGGCCCCAGAGGCCGAAGCCAAGGGAAGGCGCCGGGACGGAACCACCATATCGTCGGAGAGCTGGGCCCCTCTCCCCCGGCCTTCCTCCCGCGCGCCGCTGGCACGGGCCCGCTGCACCGGCGGGCGCTCGCTTCTCTGGGCGGACCCCGCTCCGAAGGGTCGGTGCCGAGAGCAGGACAGGCCTCTGGCATCGCTCGGTGCGTCTCGGCCGCGAGGCCGAGGCGGGAGTGTACCCAGGTATGAAGAACCACCCCTCCTCCCCCTCCTCCTGCTTTTCCCCGTGCTTGGGCTGGAGTTCTGTGTGCTTCACCCCCCGGTTGTCGTCTTCTCAGCGAGAAGTCTTGCAGGACTGCCTGACCTGAGCTTCCTCTCCTCCTCCCCTCCTCCTCCTACCGCACCTACGCAAACTCATCCTCATATCCGCCTCAGCACCTCCATCCTCCCCCTCTCCACAGCTTCCTCCTCCTACTCATCTCACTACTACTCCTCCTCCTCCTCACTCCTCACCTCATCCATACGATCCCCCCCCCTCCTCCTCCTCTCCTCCTCCTCCCACCCCCCCCCCCCCCTCCTGCCTCCTCATCCTACTTCTCTCCTCCTCCTCCTCTCCCAATCCATACTCCTTCTCTACTCTACTCTACTACGTCCATACTCCCACTACTACTCATACCATGCTCTTACTTCTACTCTACTACTCTATCCTGATTCCTTGCTCTCCTCATACTCTCCTCTCCTTACTCCAACTCCTACTCCTACTCCAACTCCTACTCCTACTCCTATCCTTATTCCTTATTAGAATATACTCCTACTCCCCCCTCAGGCCGGCAGATAGCGGGCGCATCCGGGTGGTCCCATCCTAACCTGTAAAAAACAATACAAAATCATCATTTTTCTTATTTTTTCCTCTCGGCATGGACGTCCTGTCGTCCACGGCGATAATCCATTGCAAAAAATACCACAAAGAGCACGCGCGCGCGTTCATGTCAAAATCCTACCGAACACCGTGTGTTTGCAAGCATTCAACATAAAAACATCAAAAACCCAATGTTTTTTTTTTCACAAAAAAATTGTACAAATTTCCCGCCCGGGCTCTCTTGCTGAAATCATAGGAAAACCATAGGAATCTTAAGAATTCGGTCGAATCCAGCGATTTCACGTCATCGCGCGGTGCACTCGCGATGCTCTGTCATGCACCCAGGCCGCGAATCCTGTGCCAAAAATACCACAAAGAGCACACTCGCGCGTTCATGTCAGAATCCTACCGAACACCGTGTGTTCGCAAGCATTTCAACATAAAAACATCAAAAACCAAATGCTTTTTCACAAAAATGCTTTGGGGTGTCCTGTCAGACCGTCGGGCTTCCTCCGGCCACCTCTGGCTTCCTGCGGTGTACCGGGCCATTCTCGACTTCGTCTGGCAATGCGTGCGCGGCATTCAACACGCGCTCGCCAGTTCCCGTCGGCAACCGCCATCGCGGCCGCATCAGCTGTACCAAACCGTCTGGCCGGTGTGACTTCGGCCCCCAGTTGTGCCAGCTTTGCTTCTTATGTTGTGGGAGGGCGGGTGGGACTGGGCATGCCATGCTTGACTCGCTCGGGCTGGCTAGCTTGACTCCTACTCCTACTCCTACTCCTACTCCTATCCTTATTCCTTATTCGAATATACTCCTACTCCCCCCTCAGGCCGGCCGATAGGGGCCGCATCCGGGTGGTCCCATCCTAACCTGTAAAAAACAATACAAAATCAACATTTTTCTTATTTTTTCCTCTCGACATGGACGTCCTGTCGTCCACGGCGATAATTCATTGCAAAAAATACAACAAAGAGCACACGCGCGCGTTCATGTCATAATCCTACCGAACACCGTGTGTTTGCAAGCATTTCAACATAAAAACATAAAAAACCCAATGCTTTTTCACAAAAATTGTACAAACTTCCCGCCCGGGCTCTCTTGCTGAAATCATAGGAAAACCATAGGAATCTTAAGAATTCGGTCAAATCCAGCGATTTCACGTCATCGCGCGGTGCACTCGCGATGCTCTGTCATGCACCCAGGCCGCGAATCCTGTGCAAAAAAAACCACAAAGAGCACACTCGCGCGTTCATGTCAGAATCCTACCGAACACCGTGTGTTTGCAAGCATTTCAACATAAAAAAATCAAAAACCCAATGCTTTTTCACAAAAATGCTTTGGGGTGTCCTGTCAGACCGTCGGGCTTCCTCCGGCCACCTCTGGCTTCCTGCGGTGTACCAGGCCATTCTCGACTCGTCTGGCAATGCGTGCGCGGCATTCAAACACGCGCTCGCCAGTTCCCGTCGGCAACCGCCATCGCGGCCACATCAGCTGTACCAAACCGGCTGGCCGGTGTGACTTCGGCCCCCAGTTGTGCCAGCTTTGCTTCTTATGTTGTGGGAGGGCGGGTGGGACTGGGCATTTCGCCTTCATGCTTGGACTCGCTCGAGGCCCCTAGCTGGACTCCTAAATCCTTACATTCCCTTAGTTAGAATATACTTCTACTACCCCTCAGGCCGGCCAACTAGGGGCAGCATCGGGTGGTCCCATCGAACCTGGTAAAAAAATACAAAAATCAACATTTTTCTTATTCTCTCTCGACATGGACGTCCGTCGTCCACGGCGATAATCTTCAGAAAAATACCACAAAGAGGCACACCGCGCGTTCATGTAGAATCCTACCGAACACCGTGTGTTTGCAAGCATTAACATTTCAACATAAAAACATCAAAAACCCAATAATTTTCACAAAAATTGTACAAATTTCCCGCCCGGACTCTCTTGCTGAAATCATATGAAAACCATAGGAATCTTAAGAATTCTGTCAAATCCAGCGATTTCACGTCATCGCGCGGTGCACTCGCGATGCTCTGTCATGCACCCAGGCCGCGAATCCTATGCAAAAAATACAACAAAGAGCACACTCGCGCGTTCATGTCAGAATCCTACCGAACACCGTGTGTTTGCAAGCATTTCAACATAAAAACATCAAAAAACCCAATGCTTTTTCACAAAAATGCTGTGGGGTGTCCTGTCAGACCGTCGGGCTTCCTCCGGCCACCTCTGGCTTCCTGCGGTGTACCGGGCCATTCTCGACTCGTCTGGCAATGCGTGCGCGGCATTCAACACGCGCTCGCCAGTTTCCGTCGGCAACCGCCATCGCGGCCGCATCAGCTGTACCAAACCGGCTGGCCGGTGTGACTTCGGCCCCCAGTTGTGCCAGCTTTGCTTCTTATGTTGTGGGAGGGCGGGTGGGACTGGGCATGCCATGCTTGACTCGCCTCGAGATGGCTTAGCTTTGACTCCTACTTCCTCTAACACTCCTATTATTTTTCATTCTCATCGTTTATTCAGACGGCCACTCCTACTCCCCCCTCAGGCCGGCCGATAGGGGCCGCATCCGGGTGGTCCCATCCTAACCTGTAAAAAACAATACACAATCAACATTTTTCTTATTTTTTCCTCTCGACATGGACGTCCTGTCGTCCACGGCGATAATCCATTGCAACAAATACCACAAAGAGCACACGCGCGCGTTCATGTCAGAATCCTACCGAACACCGTGTGTTTGCAAGCATTTCAACGTAAAAACATAAAAAACCAAATGTTTTTTTCACAAAAATTGTACAAATTTCCCGCCCGGGCTCTCTTGCTGAAATCATAGGAAAACCATAGGAATCTTAAGAATTCGGTCGAATCCAGCGATTTCACGTCATCGCGCGGTGCACTCGCGATGCTCTGTCATGCACCCAGGCCGCGAATCCTGTGCAACAAATGCCACAAAGAGCACACTCGCGCGTTCATGTCAGAATCCTACCGAACACCGTGTGTTTGCAAGCATTTCAACATAAAAACATCAAAAACCCGATGCTTTTTCACAAAAATGCTTTGGGGTGTCCTGTCAGACCGTCGGGCTTCCTCCGGCCACCTCTGGCTTCCTGCGGTGTACCGGGCCATTCTCGACTCGTCTGGCAATGCGTGCGCGGCATTCAACACGCGCTCGCCAGTTCCGTCGGCAACCGCCATCGCGGCCGCATCAGCTGTACCAAACCGGCTGGCCGGTGTGACTTCGGCCCCCAGTTGTGCCAGCTTTGCTTCTTATGTTGTGGAGGGCGGGTGGGACTGGGCATGCCATGCTTGACTCGCTCGAGCTGGCTAGCTTGACTCCTACTCCTATCCTTATTCCTTATTAGAATATACTCCTACTCCCCCCTCAGGCCGGCAGATAGCGGGCGCATCCGGGTGGTCCCATCCTAACCTGTAAAAAAACAATACAAAATCAACATGTTTCTTATTTTTTCCTCTCGACATGGACGTCCTGTCGTCCACGGCGATAATCCATTGCAAAAAATACCACAAAGAGCACACGCGCGCGTTAATGTCAGAATCCTACCGAACACCGTGTGTTTGCAAGCATTTCAACATAAAAACATCAAAAACCCAATGCTTTTTCACAAAAGTTGTACAAATTTCCCGCCCGGGCTCTCTTGCTGAAATCATAGGAAAACCCTAGGAATCTTAAGAATTCGGTCAAATCCAGCGATTTCACGTCATCGCGCGGTGCACTCGCGATGCTCTGTCATGCACCCAGGCCGCGAATCCTGTGCAAAAAATACCACAAAGAACACACTCGCGCGTTCATGTCAGAATCCTACCGAACACCGTGTTTTTGCAAGCATTTCAACATAAAAACATCAAAAACCCTATGCTTTTTCACAAAAATGCTTTGGGGTGTCCTGTCAGACCGTCGGGCTTCCTCCGGCCACCTCTGGCTTCCTGCGGTGTACCGGGCCATTCTCGACTCGTCTGGCAATGCGTGCGCGGCATTCAACACGCGCTCGCAGTTCCCGTCGGCAACCGCCATCGCGGCCGCATCAGCTGTACCAAACCGGCTGGCCGGTGTGACTTCGGCCCCCAGTTGTGCCAGCTTTGCTGCTTATGTTGTGGGAGGGCGGGTGGGACTGGGCATGCCATGCTTGACTCGCTCGAGCTGGCTAGCTTGACTCCTACTCCTACTCCTACTACTACTACTCCTACTCCTACGTCCGCACTGTTTACTCCTAATCCACTCCGACCTCCGACTCCTACTCCTTACTCCTACTCTTACTCCTACTCCTACTCCTACTAATACTCCTCCACCACGTCGACTCCTAATCCCTCCTCTTTACTCTACTCCTACTCCTACTCCTACTCCACTCCTAGTCCTACTCCTCACTCCTTTACTCCTACTCCTACTCCTACTCCTTCTCCCTCCCCTCCTCCTCCTCCTCCTCCTTCCTCCCCCTAATCCCTCCCCCCAGCCTCCTCCTCTCCTCCTCTCCTCCTCCTCTCCCCTCCTCCTCCTCCTCTCATCCCCCTCCTCTCCTCATCCCTCCCCCTTTCTCCCCCTCCTCCCCCTCCTCCTCCTCCTCCGCCCCCCCCCAGCGAGGAGTACAGGAAGTACGTGGAGAAGGACAAAGCCCTCGAGAGGCGCTTCCAGCCGATCTCTGTGCTGGGGGCCCAGTTGCGGCGCCGGCGCCCGCCAGCTCGCACGGGCGCAGCTGCCAGACGCGATGCTGAGTGGCCTGGGTGCGGTGTGGGGCAGTTGCAGAGCTCTCCCCGGGCCGATGCGTTTTCCCGCCACGGTAGTCTCGGTCCTCTCCCTGGTAGTCTTGCCCCGCCGCTCCCCTCGTCCCAGAAACCCCTACCTGATGAGCCTCTCTTTCCTCCCCCTGGTGACCTGCTCCGCACTCGACCCCCTGGCCAGGCCATGAGGAGGAGAAGGGGAGGCTGGAGGAGGAGGAGGAGGAGCAGCAGCAGCAGCAGGAGCAGG